GCTTTTATTAGCGTTTCAAAAATGCAGGAAATTAAACGGGAATAAAGTTTCATTGTCCATTTCGAAATACATTGTGACAAACGTTAAGAAACTTAACATGTACCGTTGATACAAATTCTTGAAATTTCTCTGCAATGTCAAGACTAGTATAAACAGTATATGGTCAATAACGTGCCAACTCAACATCAACTCTCTTGTGCATACTTTTTTTATTGACGTTTCAGTTTTGAAGTGTAAAATACCGAGTACAGTAAAAATGTTGTATTTACAGTAAGCCTTTCATACAATTGTAAATAAAACAAAACCATTGGCGAAATCTTGTCATTTACCTTGATGCGAGGCCAATCTTAAACTTAAGATAGTAATGGATATATGCAGGGCTTGTGACCCTTTCCAGAATAATTGTATCTGTAGTCGTTCCATTGACCCCATGTTAGATACAGAGCTAATGCATTAAGATGTTCAACCTTGACAAGTGTACTGCTCTAGGCACGAATTTGCAGTGTAGATAGAACTTCTCACTTCCTTTCTTACCGGAACGGTGATGCATACGTGACACTATCATTCAAGATTATTTCCAGGGCAGGGCTTAGTTGCCACTGTAAGGGTGAGAGGGAGATTAAACCAGTCCCTGTAAGTTAATGGTTTTGCTGATCTTCTGTAATTTGTACTTTAGCAGGAAGCCTACATTATAAGGCACTTACAGATAACCATACGACGCCACAAAAGCTTTGAACTCTACGCTGGATTTAAATGGCTGTGCTCATAAGACTTTTGGCACCCTTTTAGAATCTAGTGTTGCTCATGAATAGTCCTTTAGATTGCTACTTGTCACTGGTACCAATAATTGAACACTGCTTCGGTTGGGTTTACAATTTGGAGATAATTACGTCATTACTTTTTGTACGTATTGCTTGCTATTTATGCGTAAATTCGTGCATTTAAAGAAAGTGGTAATAAAGTGTAATTTCATAAAGGACATGAAATAACGTAGTTAATAATACATGTTGATAAATATCCCCATAAGCTGAGAAGACCATGTCAGTATGGTCTCAGGGCAAAGGTCGGAGTTATAATCACCCATCATTGCTGAGCAATTGCCACCACGCATTGCTAACCGAGTGACTTACCACGTCTCACCACATCATAATTGCACCATTACGGCCATCAACCTCACATGTCATGCCCAGCTCAGCTATTCATCTCGATAACTACTCATCGCCACCAGCATTCACGGATGAAAACTCACCATTACCAAGCACTATCAGAGCCTGAGGGTTTTGCCACAATTGAGATAATCATCAATTATCACACCATCAACAGCTCAATACCACCACCCATCGCTATGCATGCACCACCACCAGCCAACATTATCAAACCAGCATTCATGCCCACAACTCATTGCAATTAATCGGCGTCACCGTGACCATGGAATGACCAGCACTCATCATCTGAACCACCACTCATTACCATCACTCATTGAGAGCATTACCTTTAACCACCAATCACCATGACGTCTCACCATCAACTCCGCAGGTCAAGTGCAGTGGCCACCACCACTAGGCGGATACGGAACCTCTGGATTTACTAAACGCAGCCCTAAGAAGCACGACAATGAGGGCCTCTCATCAACCCACAACCGTTAAATAAAACAGCGACACCGCCAAATAAGCGCTTCAACGCCATTCACATCTCGCTCGGGGGATTCCTGAACGAGGCTGTAACGAACCAGGGGAGGGTCCCATTAGGATTCTGACGATGCCGGCACGACCGAGACCCTGCTGGGGACGTCACCCACAAACTCGGGGCTCTGCGGCGTAGAGGCAAGGACACACGGCAGACGTCCGCGGCGTCTGCGCGCCAACCACGCGGCCCCCGCAATGCGGACGTGCCGAGGCCTACTCGCCCCGCTAGGCCACCACGCGGCCCAGAGGAGGAGGAGGGGGGAGGGCCCCACGAGGTTACAACAACAACAACAAAATTGCGCGGGTCGCAGCGAGCGAGCGACGCATTTATTGCGCCGCGTTAACGATTCTCACGTAATTCGATACACGTGGGCCGCGTGCGAGCCTAACATGGACGGTGCGAGATGTGGCACGAGCCGGCAAAAATTATTGCTCCTCATCATTGTCCCCTCCATCCAATCTTGTCCTCATCATTGTCCCCCACCCCTCCCCTCTTGGGGTGGGACGTGTGCCACGGGCGCTTCGTCAGTAAAGGAGAATTGAGAAAGTCGCAAACAACGGCCACGACAGAAAGCCAAGTGGAGCGCTGGGCCCTCTGGGCTCCGTGTGCACCACACCCCCCCCGTGTACCGTGTGCATCACCCCCCCCCCCGTGTATCGTAGAGGATATCCCGGTACCTTGCGAGTGCCGTGTGCAGCGCGGCCCGTGCGCAGCGTGTGCCGTGTGCAGCCGCAGCCTCCCTCCTCCTCCTCCACCACCTCCTCCTCCTCCTCGCTCCCTACCCATTTGGTCGCCCCCTCCCATCTCCCCCCTGCCACACCACCTCACGCCACGTGACCCCGCCCCCCCCGGCTCGTCACTGACGGAAATAGCCGAGTACCGACGCTCGGCTCGTTCGGCTATTTCCGGTAGGAGAAACAGGAAAAAAAAACACAACGGACGAAGCCAAAGCGTGGGTTTTTTTTAGTGTTGAATGTAAAATAAATTAAACGATGGAGTAAACGACTTGTTTTGGTGCGTAAATTATGAGTTAAATTGTGCGACGATGTGAAAAAAAAAAAACCGGTGTGGTTTGAGGTCGTTCGGATTATCCCGTTGCTATTTCCGAGCGCGTGATGTCAACACGATGGCGCGCGCTCGAGTGTGGACACTTCCGATTGGTCCTGACGGCGTCGAGCGTTTCTAACGACGCGCCTGATTGGCTGAGGTCCACGTGGCCGGACGACGTTTCAAAAAAGGAGTTGTGGGCAACTCGGAGATGCAATTCCCTTGGCCCCGTAATTATCATGCCCACCTTTGTGAAAACGATCCACTCATTTGGAATATACATAAATCATAACCCCCCCTTCAAAACTTGACAGGATCCCTCGTGAAACTTCATGCGTCTTCCATGCGTTTTTTGGTTAGATCGCGTAAATATATAAATGTGTTTTGATTTAAAGCTTTCGTGACTGCAGGGATTCATCTTCTTGGTTCTTTCGGTAAAGTCACGTAGAAGGGAAGTAATAAAATAATAAAAATAAAAAAACATGATAAAATTTTATTATGTTTTATTTTATTATTTTATTACTTCCCTTCTACGTGACTTTACCGAAAGAACCAAGAAGATATAAATGTGTTGTTAAAACCCGACACGGCCAATTAGTAAGGGTTGTCACGTAAACACAACGTGCCAATTTATCACTAGTACAGCACACTGGTGTGTTGGAGAGTAAATCCACAACATTTACAATTCGAATACGACGTTTCGCCAGTAATTACAACCAGCTTCATCAGGCGATAGCCATGCGTCTTTCCTGATCAAAGCGTTATGAATAATTAGAGTCTGCTCTTGTTTCCAATTCGTGTCAGCTGAAATTGTTACTTAGTTTTGAAAACGTACATTTCAGTTCTCTTCTGAGGCGCAAATACGCAATTACTGACCCAAAGGCACAAAATGGCAAGCTGGCAGCAACAAACAGCAATGTTAAAAGTTGTAACAGATGAACAAGTAAAATTTGTATTTAAAGCTTTCGTGACTGCAGGGATTCATATTCTTGGTTCTTTCGGTAAAGTCACGTAGAAGGGAAATCAAATAAGATGAACAAGTTGATACGTTTCCGGAATTGAGCAAGGTTATGTTTAAAAAACACATTGGTAAATAAGTAGAGGGAATTCCAAAGTGGAGTGGTGCAATAGAAAATGCAGAAAGAAAAGTGTTTTATCCGCAATGAGGTTGTTGAACAAGAAGTATGGGATGAGATGGAACGGTCTGGTTGACGGAGTTCTCAGCCACATTGGTGGAGGAAACTTGAGTGAAGTTCATGGGAACGGTGACTTTTTTGGTCATCGAAGAGAGACGAGAATAACCACCAGTGAGCCAGTGGAGTTGATCAACGGGTTCTGGGTCATCAGCCTGAGTGCTTCACTTTAAATAACAATGTTTTACCCTTGGTGGCAATAAAACAGGTGTTGAGATTTCACTTTGTAACATGTTTTTGTTCCTGGGTAGTAAGTGTTATTTCCTAATTGCTTATGCCTCAAAAGTACAAAAATGGCTATTATTCCCCACCAGTGGCGGCTCCTGCAAAATCTCTCAGGGGGGGCAAATGTCTGGATGATTGATAAGGATAAGGTCCACCCATGCAAAGGATAAATTAACAGCTTAAGCATGTAAAGGCAACTTCACTTCTTTAATATTAATGAAAAATAAAGTGACTCTTACAATACATCTTGTTTGTTTCTATACTCACTATTAATACAATCCACTCATGTTTCTTTTATTAAAGATTCCACTAGGTGGCGACAAATTATATTGTTGGATGAAACGTGCTTACGTATGATGACGTAAGCACGTTAGGGCGAGCCCTCCCGGAAGCCATAGAGAATGCATTGCAGCGCCCCCCGGTCGAAAAAAAACATCTTTGAATGTAAGTCTATGGGGCCACTCGGGGCGATTTTCAGCCGGAGGGAAATCGCCCAAAAGAGGCGGTACTCCACAGAACGTAGCATGACGCTGATTGGACTATATCCAGAGGCACAGTGACGGCTAGCGTAACTCTGTGGTTGAATGACATTGGTGGTGCGTCGCCCCATCGCCCTAATGAAGAAACCGCCCCTGTTCCCCACAAACTTTGCTTTTGTGACCAGGACAGTGATATTTTGAAATTGAACGATTTTACAGAACATTCCAGATAGATTCAGTGCTGAGTAAACTTGGAGTAACTTCTAGAACATTCTAGAACTTTTCAGTAAGAAAACGTAGTATAAATACAGGGGCCGTATGCCCACCAGTTTAGCTCCAACTACCTAAGTGGATACATATCTGCATTTTTCTGAGATGGCATCAAGAGGCTGCAAGCATCCGGCAGACACATTATGCTATGTCTGCGGCCAATTTATCAAGATGAGCGAAAAAGTACTCTGTGGAAGCATCTGCTAAGATGTGTGAGGCCTACAAGGCATATTTCGGCATGCCTGTCGGGGATCAAGACAAATCCTGGGCACCTCATTTCACCTGCGAGCAATGCAAAAAAACTCTGGAAGGTAAGATGGACAATTGTTGCTTGGAATTTTATGTTATAAAATTTGTTCAAATTTTCAAAATTGTAAAAGTTTATAATTTTAAAATGTTTTACAATTTTCAATGTTATTGAAAAATATCATATATGCATTTTTTACGAGAATCTCGTACACATGAAATAAATGTATTTTTGTAGGATGGTACAGGAGGCAAAAGAGAGCCATGAAGTTCGCTGTCCCAAGAATGTTGCAGTAACCCACTTACCACTCAAGCAACTGCTACTTCTGCATTGTGGACCCTTCCAAACGTCAGACTGGTAACAATGCACCTGCTATCACATATCCGGACCTTCTTTTATCCATCGCCCCAGTGCCACACTGCCATGAGCTCCCCGTACCTACTCCTCCGGAGAGAGAGCAGCCGTCTTTAGAAGAGACAGCAAGTCAGAGAGCGAGGAAGACATAGATCCAGATGACAATTTCAGAGGTGGAGCTGAGGAGAGAAACCCATACGACCCCACCCAAAAGAAGCTCAACGACTTTATCAGAGATCTTAGTCTCACCAATTCCAATGCCGAGCTTTTGATGTCTAGGTTAAAGCAGTGGAACTTGTTGGATGAAAGTGTGCAAGTCGCAGATCAGAGGAAGCGTCACCAACCTTTTTGCAGTTTCTTCACCCGTCAAGATGGGCTCTGCTTCTGCCACAATGTGACCAGTCTGTTCGAGGCAATCGAAATCACCTGTAACCAGCATGAGTGGTGCCTCTTTATTGACAGCTCATCCAGGAGTCTCAAAGCCGTGCTGCTCCATAATGGTAACAAGTACCCGTCTCTTCCCCTGGCTCACTTGGTGCACCTCAAAGAGGATTACAACATCATCAAGACCTTGCTGGACGCCTTTAAGTATGATGAGTATGGCTGGGAGGTCATCGGAGACTTCAAAATGGTGGCATTCCTGATGGGTCTCCAAGGCGGTTTTACCAAGTTTCCCTGCTATCTTTGCCTTTGGGACAGCAGAGACACCAAGGCGCACTACCACAGGCGGGACTGGCCACAGCGGACCGAGTTTTCTGTGGGGAGGAACGTCAAGTGGGAGCCACTGGTGGACCCCCAGAAGGTGCTGATGCCACCACTGCACATCAAATTGGGCCTAATGAAACAATTTGTCAGAGCTGTAGATAAGGAGTCGGCAACCTTCAAGTACCTTCAAGACTTCTTCCCTAAGCTGTCTGAGGCAAAGGTCAAAGCCGGTGCCTTCGTCGGACCACAGATAAAGAAGATCCTGGAGTGAAGTGAATTCCCCAAGAAGCTCACTAGTAAGAAGAAAGGAGCTTGGGACAGCTTTGTCGCAGTAGTTCGTGGCTTCCTGGGCAATCACAATGTCGAAAACTGTGGAGCTGGTTGAGACTCTTCTGTAGGATGTCCCTCAAAGTCCATATCCTTGATGCTCATCTTGATAAATTCGAGGAGAACATGGGAGCGAACTCGGAGGAGCAAGCCGAGCGCTTCCACCAGGATACACTGGACTTTGAACGCAGCTACCAAGGACATTTTAACCAGAAAATGATGGGAGACGACATTTGTGAGCTGATTCGTGAAAGTGATATACAGTAGAATCAAATCTAGAAAAACTACTCACTTCTAAATCTTTTGTAGTAATTTTTGTCTTACTTTAGTATAAATACATGTTAATTTTGATTCATATGTTTTTTTTTACTTTATGTGAACGAAAAACACAAATTCGCCAGTTTTCTCATTGAAAATAGGTAAATTTCAAAATATCACTGATCTGGTCACAAAAGCAAAGTTTGTGGGGAATAATAACCATTTTCTATACATTTTAGGCATAAGCAATTAAGAAATAATACTACTCAGGAACAAAAATTGTGTTACATAGTGTTTTCAAACACCAATTAGACTTGTGAACATGCAAACAATGTTCACAAATACGTGTGGTTAATGCAGAATTGATTCCTTGCGAAATTACTATTTGGTGTTTGAACATCTTAACACCTGTTTAATTGCAACAAAGGATCAAACCAATTCTTATTTTTCATACTTTGAAACTGCCAAAAAAAAGGTTCCATGATATGCTTGACGTTAAACTATATCAACTACAGCGACGTACAAACTGGGTGCCCTTCCCAGATAGTGAACGACATTTTTATTTCAAAAGTGTGTTTATTATGTTATTATTGATTTGCTGAGTTGTAAAATAAATTGATATGAATGTTAATATACAATCTGAGAGCACTAACGGAATTGTATGTGGATGGCTAAGGCTTTTAAGGGCACGTGTTTGCCAAGTTCCATACATCAGGTGAGTATATACCTTTTGGAAATGCTACTCCATACAGATTTAAATTAATATATTTTTGTTTTGGGTAGCCTTCCATCATATCCCAAATTGCGGCTTTTGTCCGAATTGAGAGATCTTTCCGTATTCATAACGGTTACAAACCATTACATTACGTGATTTTGGACAGCAGACTGAATAATTATTGAAAAAAGTAACGGCGTTACGTACAATGACGTTGGTTTGAAAAAAAATAGGAATAGGTTTTACCCTTTCTGGCATTTAAACAGGTGTTAAGATGTTCAAACACCAAATAGAACCTTTTGCAAGGGATCATATCTGCATTAACCACAAGTACCTGTGGTGAACATGCAAACAAACATGATCTGATAATATATGCAAATGTTTCTATTTGCTGTTTCAACATCTTAACACATCTGTTTTATTGCCAGAAAGGGTAAAACCTATTGTTTTTCATACTGGCAAAAAGGTCCCATTTAATTACGTGGTTATATGCAATTAAATTATGGTAACCAATAGGAAGGAATGCAAATGTAAAAGTGTGAGAAATAAATCCAAGCGTAGAGAGATGCAGACATTAGAACCAATAAGGGAACATGGGTAGGTTAATGAAAATTCAAACCGTGAAGAATTAGTCGGTTCGGGTAGAACAGTATCGCTCGATGCAACGATGACAGATGGTCACTAATCTCCATAATCGAGGTTTTTAGGTTAGATCACGTAAATATAAATGTTTTTTTAAACCCGCCACCACCCGACACAGTAAGGTTTGTCACGTAAACAGAAGATGCCATTCATTACTAGTACAGTACACCGGTGTGTTGGAGAGTAAATCCACAACATTTACAATTCGAATACGACGTATCGTCAGTAATTACAACTAGCATCATTCAGGAGATAGCCAGATTTGTGGAGAAATCCTGTGTGCCCATCAGGTGCGAAGGCTGGTGAGGGGGGATTAGTGAATGCATATCAATGACAATGAATATTTATTACCAGCTGGTTTATTAATATGGTAATCAACATACACAATAAGGAGTGGCGGCAGCCATGAACTTGGGGCATGTCTCATTGACAGATAGCAGTGAGACAGACAATGGTTTCGCCAATATTAGGACTCGTCTGTACACTGGTCACAAATGTAAAGATTTAGCAAAGGCTGCGTCTGGGAATCAGATGCGGTATGCAGTACCCAATTCTGTACTATGGGGGCCAAATTAGCTTGGGGCTAATGCCAACAATAATCTTAATTGGTAAATGACGTAAAACAACCCATCATGAGTCCTAATGAGAACGACATTTGTCTCCAGTAGTCTCTGTCTCATTTGTGCCTGTCATTCACATTTACTCAAATTTATGTGATGGTGACCTAAGACAAGACCACAATGCAGTTCATGAACTACTGATGGTTTTTGCATATCGCGCATAGACTTATTTATGCACAGATTAATTGTAAATCATAGGATGCAGAACACAAATCGTGGAAACAAAAGTGGACAATAGAAGTGCTAGTGCCACTGTCGCCCTCCAACAATAACGGAGGACAGAAGGAGCGACGCTCACAACAACGAGTGGATCGTCGGACATCTAAAATGCAGCAAGTTGGCACAGTTGGGTGCCTCTTGCCAGCCTGAGTCGGTCCACCCGTGGCATCTGGGATCTGTCCCTTGACCTCCTGCCCCCAGCGACCGACCCCTCGACACTTCACGTGGCCTCAAAGTGCACCTAGCCTGGCTCAGGCGCCGTGGTGACGTCACCGCCACTTAGTGGCGAACAGGCGGATGTTGGAATGTCACGATGTGTGCCGGCCTCGTTATTCGCGGTCCGTCACCGTGGTTATATTGTGATGCCACGACTGTAGTTGGCATAGAAACCGTTCTGCGGAGCTCTGTACGTTGCCACAAGGGGGCAGCAAATCACTACTCGAGTGGATGAGGGTTGTCTTAGGCTCCTTGCACTTGACTCCTGCTTTTAAATTACTGTAATTGACACCAATAATTGGAACCATCTTTTTGAATCACTACAACACAAGCAACATATTGTCAATGTATAAGATATCGTTGCTATATACGACCTAATTCTTCAAATGTATTGTACACAATGTGTGTACTGTGTAGATCTTACTGGATGTAAGGTCTGCACAGTACACAGGTTTTTTGGTTAGATCAAAACACATGTGTTTCATATCTATATAAACTTTATACCCTTAAAGTATATGCACGTAGGACCCATTAAAATGTGTTCCAGGTCTGGTTTTGTTTTTCTGTAACCTGCACCACGTTGCTTAATTCAATGCATCAACGATTCCGTTGCAGCCAAAAAGAACCGTATTAAGTATACATTGGTGATGAGGCTTGCATAATTACAGCAGTAATTTCAGATTATATTTTAATTCAGTGACCATTGCAACATATCAAGTATATTCTTTATGATTTCGTATCCCAAAGATAGCAACTTTGATATAACTGAACTTAATTTAATAATGCAACATACTGGGTTAGTCAAGATTATAAATATATAGCTTTCGGCATTAATTACCAGCCTTCACAGGCCTTAACATATATTGAGATTAAACGTGCATTCATCTTCAGAGAGAGTGATCAATCACATCAAGGAAACATAGTCCCCCATACCAACTGCATGGGGTATCATGGACCAACTTACTGCCCACAAATACAGATGAAAAAAAGCCTTTTAAGTCTCGTATGAATGTATTTTGTCCATTACATTATTTCAGTTCATCAAATTGGTTGGAACCAGAGGAAAATGGTTTCTCCTACGCACATGATGAATCCACGAGTTTAACCACATCTGTCTGAGAAAGGATTCTTTTCTAGAACAGCTGGTAGTCATTACTGGTTTGCAACTTTTAATCTTTAAGCAGCATTTTAAAGTAAAAACTCAATTTAAGCCGCTGGATTGGATCATCTAAAGACGTTAAAAGGACACCCACACAAAGACGAATCAAGACTGTCACTTTAATGCAATGGAACCAACCAGTAATTTTCAATTAGCACAATAGTTATAAATCCATAAACAGTGCTTATGTATATACAATACTTCTGTATGTACTGCTGGCAAACAACATGTTCTTGTTATGTAATATGTAGTGATCACACTGCATTAAAACAGAGGACGAAGCTAAGAATGATATATAATTTTATTGGTCATGTTACAACCCAGGATGCAAAAGTATGGCTACTGTGTTTTGTAATTTTAAATATCTGTTTCTTTTATCACTGACAGATTGCATTATGGTGTTTAGGTTTAGATGTTTTGTTGTAATTATAACCAAGGAATGCAACCGTTGAAAAATAATTACATAGGATTGTTCTAGTCCTCTGTTAGTCCCTCTAGAATGGTCTTAAAGGAAAATGGTGCAAATTTGTAGCCCGATCCTTGGTAGAACTTGTTCTGGAACTCAACCCTGTTGTGAACACACAAACCACGTAAAATGCAGGCTTTATTATTTTGAAATCGCATTGAGTCTAAACTATGAGAATCTTGGTTGGTATGCCATTATTGTTTACTTACTAATGTCAGATGAAGATGATATTGTGGGATGTTCAAATTATTTAATTCAGTAACAGTGCAGGGACCTTAATTTAGCATTCCTCATGAATAGCACTAAGAAGTTTTTGCAAATTAATATAAATAATAACAAAAATAAATCTAGTGTAAACTATATAAAACTACAATACAGATGAGATGACATTGTGAAGATGTATCTAATAATTATTGAAGGATGATTTTGGTATTTGAAATGAAAGCAACTGCATACTGTTGAAAATAGAATGAGCTTAATTTGATGTTTAGAATGACAGTATTTCATAGAGGGGCAGGAAGACTTTGGTGACAGCTATATATATTTTAAAAAATTACACCATTATGCCGACTTGTATGTATGTGTGTGATCAGTTACAGACATTGTAGCATACCAGTGCAGACGAAGTGCATGCAAGAAGGCAGAGAGACCCTCCATTACGAGCAGGATGGCAATTGTGAGCACAGCGAAGGCTGCGAAGATGAGGAATATCCCCACGCAGCCTTTAAAGCTGTTTTTGTGCAGCCCAATGTGCAACACCATGTGCCAGAGAACTTCTGAAAGCTCTATACACGTGCACATACACCCACGCACACGTACAAAATAAATAAAAACTGATATAAAATGTTCCTTAGCAAATCCTCCTTTATAGTTTACATAGTCTAGTAAATTGGTTACGTTTTACTAAAACAAGGCCCTTACCTCATGTTTGTGTAAATAGTTTAAATGATTTGTCATGAAGGATAATTATATTTTAATATTGTAGTTTTCTAACACACAATGCATCACAAAGTAATTCACAGTGCTGTATATGTGTACCATGTTGTGCTGTATAGGTAAAGGTGCAGCTCTGCAATGTCTTGCTCACACCACTGCTTGGGGAAGGGCCTCCACAAAACGGAGCTCTAAAATACCCTCTCCAAATATGGTTTTATTTGCTCTACATTACAATACAGCAAAGTCTTTTGTTCTTTTCAAAGAACCAAAGAGTATGGATTCCTGCAGTCACGAAAGATTCAAATCAAGATACAATACAGCATTTATCAATATAAAACAATTACATACTGTAGATGTACTTAAGGCATATCCACAACCTGCATGTGCCAGGCTGAGGGCCCAGAGACGCAAGTAAGAAGCTGTGTTGGAGATGCAGCCCAGGCAGTACTCGATGGTGTGGATTGCTTGGTGCACAAACTCATCAGCAAAGTTGAACTCCTGGCACAAGACAGGAATGATCATGAGGTTTATTTTTCCTAGATTTTCATAATTGTACTATAAAACCTGTTTTAATTGGATGAAAACATCTTAAAGTAAAAAACGCAATGCAGGACCCTCCTGAAAAAGGGTCTTACAACTCTGTGAGTCTTCCTGTATAAATAAGTATATTTTTTACGAGTATATTAATGACAGAGAACAAAATGAAAGGTGTTTGAAAAGGCCCGCAAACGTAAACTGGGCCATGTGGTCATACTTCACCTCATCATGCCCATGCCCATGCCCCCCATCTCTTTCATGCTCCCCGTTCTCTCCGTCGTCATGTTCAGTGTTCTTTGTAGGGAGCATTTGCACCTCCACTTCATCTCCATTTGCTACAGTCCTATATGAAACATCCCTTACCTGGGCAGCACATACACACATTGTTGTCCATTGCAAGTTGCTGCATGCGTCAAATACATTGTTTTTCATAACAGCATGTTCACACAAGTCTGCGAGCACATAACTGCACATGTGGGCATGAGTATCAGCAAGGGTGCACACATATTGGCAAATCGTGTGTACCTGCACACATACTTGCACGTATATTGGCACGCTGGGCAAACACAGCACAATTTTCTTTGATAAACCAAAAAAACAATCCTTGTTCAAAAAGATTCTTTCAATGTTATTTGTATTTCAAAGCTTTTGGAAAACTTATCTAAAGGGAATCCCTTAGATTTTTCCACAATGCTATGGTTGTTTTCTGTATAAACAGGGATGACAAAATGTCCTTTTAAGATATTCGGTCGGGGTCCAACAGGAAGACAGACTCACGTGACGATTTGACTTGCGATGCTTGGCTCTCAACACAAAGGGCTTGATAAGGAGCATCCAGGGCACGGTTATCACAGCCAAAACCACGAGGAAAGTCTGAACTTCTTGCTGCAAAAGACAAAAACACGTGTGGAGGTAATTTAAACTCTGTAAAGCTTGGATTTTATACAAGGGTGTCTGCACAACCCTTGTACGTTGTTTTTATATATATATTGGCCAGTGTTTGTAATAAGGGAATTAAATAATACATTGTGTACTTTCCTCTCCTCTAGATCTACCATGACTTTATCCTAATGTGTGGAAGATGGTTGATAGAAATGCAAGTCACATAGGGTTGGCCACATGTCCACACCTGGCTGTTGTAGAGAAATGGGGGCGAATCCTCCCCGTAGCTGAAGAGGAACATGTTGATAAAGTGGATGAGGATGCTTGGTGCTGCCTGGGAGTTGGCTGCACCAAACACGCACCACTTGTACACGATCATGATCAATAGGTAGCCGAAGAGCGCCAGCATGAAGATCATTTCTGGGATGAATTGCAGTACAACGTTCTCTGGCTGATGGAAGAAACTGTGCATGCGACAACCAGTGAAAAACATCGGTCATTCTCACAAAGTGTTGCACAGTTTTAAGTGAAATACCTCCCGCATAAAAATTAACTTTGGATGTTGTCTGAGTAAAAAAGTAAAAACACTTTTGGTCAATTATAAGATTTGAAAATTTTCAATACATTAGAGCGTGACTGAAAAGGAATATGCAATGATGTTGAAATCATCAGTGCGTGTAACCCTTTGAAAGCCCTGATAAGCTGCGTGTTTTAGAATTCCACATAGAAAGTATGCAAAATTCATCCCATATTACGTCAACAGACCTCGTCAAAACTGGAGCTCATACCTCTCCCGAGAATGCATTAGACACTGATAAAATCACGTCTTTACCTCCAGCCGCTTATAGTATTGTGATGATAGTGTATTGTCAAAAAATGACATGCCTGAAAGGTATACAAATCCTATCAATATTAAATAAACCTATAGGATATTCCCAATATAACATAGGCTTTTGCGACCAAAAAACATATCAGGATATTCCTAGTGTGCCCCTTCCATAAGTACTTTGGTTTAAAATAGTTTCAAGTGACATTAAGCGAGCCACTTCTTTACGTGAGATGCAAGAGTTATATTAGCATGACGCAATTATGCAGGAAAGTGGGAACCTCACGTATGGTTGAAAAGCCCCAGTACCACTCCAAACGTCATCTGGATAATACCCAGGATGACGGACATCTTCATCTTGTACGAGTTTAAAAAAGTCAGCTTGTTCACAGCCACATTCCATATCTGTAGAAATTAGAAACTCAAATGTTGTCACCGCAAACCCACACAGAAAGGGGGTAGGAGGAGCTTATTATGTGGCATAAAAGGGGGATAGATGTGTGGAGAATCGCAATATGTTGTGGATCAACTACCATAAGTGTGAAATTCCTCAATGCATCCTCAGTGCAGGTGAGGTGCATATGGATGTGATGGAAATCCATTAGCGCACAGATATATATTTATGGATTTCAAGGGCCAAGTATAGTGTTGGAAATAATGAAAAATGCCCAGCAAACGAACACGGTTTTCCACATTGCAGTTTAAATCTTGTCGTGTACTTGCAGTGTGCCAATTACTGTTCAGGTAATCGCCTTATGCTCTTAAAAAATATTTTAATGTAAGGTATACCGATGAATGTGCAAAACTTCTGTTGGATTTGGATGCAAACCATTGAAATGAGAGCACTCTTTCTGAACATTCCAGAATAATAATGTAGACGAATAAATACATAGCTAAAACAAAAAAAACACTTAAATAATTCGTAAAAATGCATGTACATTTGTCAAAATTACTTTAGCTTGATATTTATATAAAATCATGTGTCATCGACTCATTAATGGTGATGAGAGAAAAGCAGGTATGCAGAGCTTTTAAGTATAGGACTCAGTGATATATGAGTACATGTTTGTTTCTTGAACTTAGTCTTGGGCATGTGCAATCAGCTGAAGAGTAGATTGTGAGCTGTTCATGGTAAACAGTAGTGTGGAGCTGGGCATAGCATGAGGTGAGTATGTGTTGTCGTTGAGACTCACGGGGTCAAGGCCAAAGGGATACGGCTGGCCAGAATAAACTCCAGGGATAGCAGGATCCAGCTGAAGCACGCTGGAATGGTGTAGAGTATGATTTCTGTCAGGGACAAAGCACAGATCAATAGGGCAACGTGCACTTCGACACTTGTAGCAATACTAATAAAATGTCTACAATTACAAATATACCACCCTTAAAAAACATTACAACCCTTTAAAATAAAGTGCACAACCTCACATTCTGGCTTTAGTATTCTGTCAATATCAAACGCAGTAAAATAGCACATACATTACTCTGTCAAGTAAGATTGCTTTAAGTTATTCTGAAAAAATACCGTAGGCTAGACATTCTATTTAACGTGTCAAAACCTGGAATATGGATAATGGCATTTGATGACTGCGATGTTGATCGTTAAATTCTCCGTAAAAATGCATGGCTGACATAGTGTTAGGACTCACCCCCATGGTCCTGTGGGATGGAACATGGCATTGACACTCCAGCTGGAGCCGAATATGTCGAAGGCCTTGGAGAAGCAGTCATTGTAGATGAGGCCCGTGTACATGGAGAAGGCTCCCATCAGCAGGATGATGTAGCGGCCACCGAAAAATGTATTCCAGATCTGAATGTCACGCATGACATGGCAATAAGATAAAGGTGAACAGTATGACAGGGCACTGTCATTAACCAAAAAGCAGTAGCAGCTCTTGGCAGTATGTGGTTACATGTTTTAAAGGTGTGTTCGCTCAATTTAGCTTGCTGCTGAAAATAACAGTTTCGTCAGGCATCCCGAGGTCCAGCTGTTCAAATGCTGTATATGAGATCACCTCATTGTCTGACTTGGTCTCAGTGAGGCTCTTCTCGTAGATCACCATGAATAACGCTGCTAGGAACATGATCAACCCATGCCCGAAATCGCCGAACATCACAGCGAACAGGAAGGGGAAGGTGATGATAGTGTAGGGAGCTGTTGGGAAACACAATAAGTGTTGGCTTGTAAAATTAAACACACGAACAGCCTACAAGATGAGCCATACCAATACAGACACAATTCACAGTAGCAACAAAGCAATTACTTTACAATAAAGTAAAATTGCATTTTTAAAACAATATATAGAAATAGCTCAACTGATGTTTTGCTTTTGCAGAAATATAAACCAGTTTAAATTAAAAAAAATGCTTGTTTTGCATTGACACTGAATGGGGCCTACCAGGGTTCATCTCGAGGTATTTGCTCACGCCATACGCATCCACGATGTTCTGAAAGCCTGAGGTGAACTTGTTGGTGCGATTGAAGGTGGGTGGAAGCTGCTTGGTGGTCATGCGGTTCAGGATGGGGGGCATCACGGCCCCGCTCTTCTCCTGCAATAGGTGGCACGAATTAGAAAGAGTGTTAGGGATGGCGAAAAACAAAACATCGGCAACATCGATGTGTTTCCTTGGATAATATTATAAATCATTTGTTTTTTTCAATCTTTTGGAAAGGAGACTTAAGATTGCAGCTGAGTGTTGATTGTTCAATAACAGCCTTCTCTGCCTTGTTATCAGATTTTCTTTCCAGTTTATGAATACTTCTTCATTATTTTCTTCGATAAACATTACTTTTGAATATGCACGTTGCTCTTTCCCGTAATATTGTTCGTGAAAAAAAAGGATAGAATATCGAAAAGACTGCGATGTTCTTGTTCTGAACTTTTTAGTATATGTAAATGTTTTTCACTAACAACATCGAGTGTTCAAAATATCGTGCGTTTTTTCTTTCGACGTCCCATCCTTAATGAGCATGCAGCGCACATCCTCGAATCATCACCGAGGGACTACTCTGAATGAGGGAAGCCCTCACTCAGGCGGAGCAACCTGAAACAAGTAATCTCCTGGAGCTCAGCAGGGGGCTCACTTGAGCTGAGCAAAATGTATCAGGCCCAAGGTTACAATAGCTCTCTGGACAAAACGCACTAAATAATACATATTTTACGAATAGAACAACGTAAAGGATTGTGCGATGCCTTTTTAATAATTGAAATACACAGAAATAAATGGGTACATGACTTAACATGAATCTTCCTGCAGTGGCTACAAGCTCATTCACGTGACATATTCAACGAACGAAACCCAAAGCACTTCCATACTTACATAGTACGAATTCTCTGTGTGTCATCCACTGTTTTATTTATTCAAAACATTAACCAACTTGTCTTCTGTCATGGTGTCATGTCCTCGCATTATTTGTGCTTTCAGGTGTTCGGTATGTCGACTTTTAAACCGCCTGTATATTTAGAAGCATATTTAATTTAATGTACATTTGCTATCCATGCAGTACTCACCGTGCCAGAAACGAGGGCGGCCTGGATGGTCTGGAGGTCCAGGACAGGACACCAAATTTCAGCAATGTGACACTTCTGAGTGACATCAATGTTGCACATGTTGAGCGTGTGGTAGATAGCCTTCATCTTCTGCACTTTGGTTCTCCACTCATACAGAGTCTCAGCAGCTGAGGCCAAGGCTTGCTGCCTGTGCATCTCCGTCTGGCCCAGCACCTACCCCACATAAGACACGCACCACAGTTGAGGCACCAGTGTGGATTTCAAATGCCATCACTGTGGTGTCAGGATTCACCAAGGACGAGGTGAGACAAGCTGTGAAGACTGTCTGCTCAGCAGGGTGGGACACTGGATGTATGCCGTATGTCAGTTGCCATGAAAAGTGGTGCAAGATGCGGTGTGTGCACTACAAGGCAAATTGTGCATGGTATACACGTGGTGCCTGGGCGAAAAATGTGGATTGGAGTCCTCACCGACTTTAAGTCCTCAATGCGTGTGTTGACATTCGCCACCATGTCCGTGCGCTCCTGAATTGAATCCGGGCACGGATAGATGGTGGCTCGGAACCTAGAGACACGTTACACAGCACAATCATAAGCTGAGCTCTGAATAACAGTGAAGTGGATCAGAATCACTGTTTTGGCATTTTTGCGAACAGGATAGAAGTACAATAAACTGCAGTTGACTCACCCATCACAAATTTTGTTTACTTTGCTCTTCAGCTGGTCTCCTTGGAAAAACACAATGAACATGTTCTTGTATATTTGCTCTCCCTGGAAAGAAAAAAATGGAGAGTGAGTTAAGAGCAAACTTCAACACAAAATGGTTCCATATTTCAAATCTGCCTCTTCTAAATCCAGACAATGTTGAGCAATATAAATATTTCATAAACATTCACTGTATAAACTAACGTTTTATTGATAATTTCTTTTAAAAAAACCTACCTTATATTTAATACAGTAAAAGGACAACATCTGCAAAGTTTTATGAATAACAAAAGCTAAATAGTAATGGCTCCCATATGATGGCATGATATAAATTGTTATTACAGTATTACTCATACTTGGATGAACGTCTGCCTGAGAAAACCGGGTGTTGTAATGCTTGGGATGCGAGGTACCTAGAATTTGGCAGTAGAGCAATATATTCCTGAATTAATCTATGCAGAGCTTTGATCATTATTGTCTCTCCGTAAGCAAGAGTTTGTTTCTGGGTACTTCAGTTTCGTCTTACACGCAAAATTTTCATGAATAGACGTGGAATAACAATCCGATGCAAGGCCCTCCTGAAAATGAGTCCTCAGACTAAGTGAAGCTTTGCTGGGAGTTAAAGGGCCTTAATATTACATAGGGCATGGGTTCTGTTTGGAAAAGTTGGCGTCGGTAGACACGTCACTAGAAGGGATGATGGTCAATACTAACGTCAGAGTGGCAGCCAAAAAAGACGGAACGCGCCAGATAAAATCAGCTTGTGTGTATGTACATGATGGGTCACTACATCCCAGCACCGTGAGCGACTGTGACGACATAGGGATGCCTGCATCCAGCAGTGGTATAGTCATGTCTGATGATGACGATGGTGATGAATGGAAAGGGATATGGCAAGTGGTGTGCGTGAAGATGGGGAGGAGGCCGCACCGTGACGGGGTCCTCTAGCGGCGCCTCGATCTCAGAGTGCCGGAACAACACGTTGCCGTGGCAGAAGCGCCACAACAGCCGCTCGAAGGCCGACACTCGATCACGCATGACCACACCCGTGAGGAAGCTACACAGCAGCATCCGCAAAAGAAAAAAAATCGTCATTGAGTGACAAATGTAAGGTCTATTTTGTTAGAAATTCTCGAAAACGTTCGACAAATCACTGTTTTTGCCTCGCCAATGGTGCGGTGGTGCAATGCGTGAGCGCATTGTTCTACGAACGCAGCGGCCTGAGTTCAATTCCTGGCCAATGTCACCATCGTGTTGAGTAATATCTGAACCAGCCCTGGGCTTCTTCCGTTCATCAACCTGTACTGACCAGTGTGGTCAAGTATGGCCAAATAACACCTACAACTGACACAGCATGGGTAGGCCTTCATCCCGCAAAGGATCGATAATGAGCTGTAAATGATATATTTTACATTTGTTTATCCTCCACCATAAACGTTTATATGAAACGTGATTAGAGAACTGAGATGTAGAGAGGACAGTGAGTCATGTGATTCACCCAAGCTTGAGAATGTTGCCCAGTTGTCCTGCGGCTGATGGCGCATCCATAAGTCTCTGCATCTCATCTGTCACTCCGGTCTCAAACATGCTGAAATCAGCCTGAAAAGCATAACATTCTCATTACACGACTGACTAATATATGTTTTTTAATTCACAATTACTGTTACAGTCATGCAGAATTAGAATCTGTATTCATCCTGGAGAAATCCGATGAGCTATGAAGCTTCTTTGTCACAGATGTCCAGCAGGAGCGAGTCATGAAGTTACAAGAACAAAATGCAATCAATGTTAAATAATGTAGAACATAATTTGGAGTCGATTGACATGCAGTACCATAGTGTGAAATGAAATACATGCGTAGCATACCAGGAAAAATATGAACATTTTTTTTTATAATTCACAAGTTCGTAACTGATGTGTCATTTAATCTGACTGGGCATGTGGTGGCCTATATTAATAGCCCATTTTGTGAAATATCATTTAAAACCTTTATTGTTTTAGAGTTCAAAACTGCAATTTTTTTATCAGCTTTACATTTTAAGAATCAATATGCCAATAGACCCTATATATAGGTAATTGGCGAGTGCCTGCATATTATACGATTCAAAAGCCCCTTGTATTGTATGGATGTAATATGAATTATGTACAGCACTTGGTCACATGACATCACGAAGGAGCCAAGTGCTGCCTATGAAACACGATTCAGTTGTAGATTTTGGGTAATATGTGCTCACAGAAAAAAAGAGTAAAAAAAGACTGAACAACACATGCACAGTGCAATGTGTAGGGTATGTACAGCCTGGAAGAAGTCGTTTATCTTGTCCAGAAGTTGTTGTAGCTCTGTGAGTTCCAGGAAGTTCAACTTCAGCATCTCCTGGTTTGAGTTCACCTCCTTTAGCTCCATCTCCAGCCTCTCGAGAAGAGACTGTCAGCGCACATGTCACATGAACATGTGCAAACAATGACACGCAAAGGGCTTCATTAATAACCATTTTAATTCCACTCTCATTTGTGTGCAAGGTAAGATGGAAATATTCCACATGAACCAAACAAGCGACTCGTAATGGCTGAGAATCTATTACTCCCACTGCAATGGCTTATTTATTGGAAAATATAAATGACGCTATTATTTATATTAATGTCTCTGTCTGAGCATGGACAGACAGCGGGAAAGCATGAAATTGTGACGTGTAATTTGAGAAAACATTCTACAATCATGCCTTAAAATGGTTTTATAATTATCCACATGCTGTGTGCATTCAATAGTTATTTTGCATACACACATTGGCTCAGAAAATGCATTTTCGGTGGTAAACGTGTGTGGAATCTAGAAAACCAAAATGGAATTCCGTGTGGCATTATTGTATGCAATAATGTGCTGGGCTTGCTGGTTTAGTAACTTTGTAATATATTGGGCTGTAGTAAAAACTGCCATGCCAAATATCCCTTGGATCTCTTTTCGGAATGTGACGGGAGTGTTTATGCAAATGAGTCGGTCTCACAGTCTCAGCACACAGTGTGAATCGGCAATCAGCCTGCACATTACAGCTTGTCGCCACACAACAAATTATCTTGTTTTTTTATGGAGTAAAATAGAATCACCTCCTCACCTCCAGATCTATCATCTCCCGTGGCAGTGGAGCCTCCTGATTGCTGTGTTGTATCTTCACGGTCATGTTAGACTTAGAAATTTCCTTCTCCAAGAACCCTGAAAGTACACACACGTTTACAAAACACATCAAGGACCATCTGGGCCTCGACAGAGCCAGAATTTTAGACAAATAAACATTGGCCCTGATCCATAGTTTCCATTCTCATTAAAGTTTGTAGCGCACGTTGACATGTCTCAGGACTTAGCGTGCATTAGGTGTATTATTGAACACTCGGAAATGTCGTCTCGTTTTCCTGTCACTCTTGAGGATATGAGCTATGCAAGATGAGTCTGATCTTATTGTATTTCCTAAACTATTAGATTGCCCCCTCCAAACAAAACAGGTCAATAGCTGACAAGATGATACCTCATAGCGACGTATCTAGAAGACAAAGACAGAGATCCCCCGCATATATACAAACACGTGTGCATATATATGCATCAATATATATCGGCAAATGCGGTTTTCATATTCTTTGGGTCTTTCGGTAAAGTCTTTCGGTAAAGTCACGAAAGCTTTAAGTCAAGATTTAAATGCGGGTTTATCCATTTATTTTAACTAGCACAGGCAAAACAACCTACAATTATTCATGGTGCTGATCGGGTAATACAAATCTTGTAAATTTGTACTGTCCAATAATAATGTTATCAAAATGTGGACTCGTGTTATATTGTTCATCAACTAATTCTTAAATCGATATAAATGCTGCACCGGGATATCATTTAAGTTAACTATCAACTCTCTGTATTGAGCAGAAATTACGCCATTGCAATCACTCTTGTTTATCTCTGTACACCACTTTACGGAAAACGCTTGAAATTTGTATTTATTCATTATTATTATTAAACAAGAGCCGACTAGAAAGCATGAGCGATGGGGAGACGTGGGTGGGGGGGGTATTATGTGGATGACAAGCCCCAAGCCAGTGTAAAGGTTAAGGTGGCTTGGGCTCATGATGGTGAAATATTACGCAAGATTCTCTCCATCTCCTCGCATCGCCGTACATCGTTCACGTACTTCCTCTGGAAGAGATTGACGCCAGCATTCAGCTGCAAGAGAGAGGACATTGCAAGTCGCTGAAGTTCGGAGCAATTCAAGTTGAACAAAAAGAAGGCATCGACGTGGAGGGATTGTTAACATAAGTTTAACAAACATTTTTTATATTTCATCGGCAGAAAACTAATGGAAACGTGTAAGTATGCGTTTGTGCATTGATGACACAATGAGATATGGTATTAATTCTAGATTTGAAGCTTTCGTGACTGCAAAGATTCATACTCTTAGGTTTTTTCGGTAAAGTCACGTAGGTGACTACGTGAGATATGGTATTTCAAATGTGCGAATGTCATCATGCGCCGTCGCTAAAACTCAAACATATTGGTTAACGGTGACATCGGCATTTTCAACAGTATCGAGGTGACTCGCCGAACCGGGTAGAGAATAGACTTTCCGACTGCCGCTGGTGCCTCCCCAAGTCTTTCCTGTTTTTGGAAACAACGAGTGACCCCCGGGTTTGGGTTCATAACACGGAGGGGCGGGGGGTCCACTCTATACCGGGGGCGGGGGGGCACTCTATACCAGGTCTGTGTAACGGTGTCAACGGTATGAGAGAAAAAAACCAAATGTCATTTGTTGAGGGCAAGGAACATTACAACTGGATTATTTTCTATTTGGTTATTTTCACGAGTAAACCCATATGGCTTTAAAGGTTATGGAAATATTCCCAATGCAGGATTTGTGTAAATTCCACAGTGAGCTCATTTTCTTTCCATAGCTGAAGTCTCCCTCTCTGCAATCCCTGAATGCACCTCATTGCTCATTCTATATTGACAAATTTGTCAAGACATCAATTCGTTGCTTAGTCTGCGAGGCTGCAGTTGAAGCACGGGAAAACACGAGGAAATTAATTAACATCCCTCGTGGGTTGACACTCACGTCTCGGAACTGCACGAGGCCAAGCTCGCCCAGCTCGCTCACGCAGCTGTAGGCAGCCTCGCTCTGCAGGAACAGCTGCGCCAGGCACATCTCCTCGCTCCGGAACAGGGAACCCATGCCAGAGCGAGATGCACTGCACAGAGATCGGCAAAGGCACACACCTGCATAGTGAGCGGACGGACAAAACGCACACTTTGCACACGTCATTTGGCTCTGTTGATGGTTTATATCCTGGATTACCGGAAAAGCATGAGCCACTCACATGACATTCATAAAACCCACAAATTGTATATCTATTATAGTATTCATTGAATTCCTAGTCGTTTGTACGTAGCGGCCAATTACATATTTTCAGGCTGCTGTGCTTGCTATACGGGCATAGTCACAGCCTACCAAAGATATTGTTCCGCTCTAAATTTATTAGCATGATCTGAACTCCAGAATTCACGAAGGATAGGCTGTCAAACTCTGTACATTGTTAATAGTAAATATATGCCGTTAATTACTGACAACTATGATTAAAAAAAAAACAGATACAAAGGCTCCACACTAGTAGCTATCTAGCCTGATGAATATCTGTGAGAAAAAAACATGTGGATGTAGGAAAACATGCAATAAAATACTAACATAAAAATAACTTTTATAAATGAATTTTAACAATACGGTGCATGATAGCCTAGGCAATACACACACACTTTGATGAGATTGATAAGAACGTGTGCTCACACACCTGCATCCAGTTGTTGATACAATGGCACAATTAACCATCTGGGCCTTACTATGAAGACCACACTGTTCAATACGAAAAAGCCCCAAAAGCAAAATTAAAGACCTTCGAGCATAAAAAAAACCATGAACATTATTAGCAATCACTAGACTGCCGCGGTTCTCTGTGCCTGCGAAGCCACACATGCACTTCAATCTGATGGCTTCCAGCTCCCAGATACAAACATGAACATGAGAAGCAACCACTACACCGCCGCGGTTCGCTGTGCCTGCGAAGCCACACATGCACTTCAATCTGATGGCTTCCAGATCCCAGAATTAAAGAGTGCAAGCCCTCGGGCCAAATCCTGCCTTTTCAATGAACTACTCTGCTGTTGATTGAAGCGGGAAGGTAACCTTGTGGTGTGGAAACATCAATGGATGTTTTTTTTATCTGATTCTCAAAGGCAAGTGTTGTGGCCATCACACAATGTCAATATAACGAGCTCTGCAACAGACACAGTGTTCTGTGGTCTGAAAGTGAACAACATGTGGCCGGTTACTTGGGGATCAAAACACACACACAAACTCTTGATTAGCAAATTAAAATGAATGTAATTGCTACGATTTAAGTAATGGACTAAACAAGCCGTTATCATGAGAATAGGTTTTCCCCTTTTTTTCTGGCAACAAAACAGGTGTTAAGATGTTAAACACCAAACTGAAACCTTGTACAAGGAATCATGTCTGCATTAACCACATATACTTGTGGTCAGAATGCAAAAAAAAACATACTCTCATAATATATGCATTTTTTTGAAACTGATTGGTCGACACCAGAGACAGCTTTCTTTCGAGCCTAGTCTCAAACGGTGTTAGGACGCCAAAAGGCATCCTCTGGTCTAACACGCCTTTTGGCGTCCTCTGGTCTAACACCATTTGAGACTAGGCTCGAAAGAAAGCTGTCTCTGGTGTGGACCAATCAGTTTCAAAGCCGATGCATATATTATCAGAGTATGTTTTTGTTTGCATTCTGACCACTAGGATATGTGGTTAATGCAGACATGATTCCTTGTAAAAGGTTTCATTTTGGTGTTTTAACATCTTAACACCTGTTTTGTTGCCAGAAAAAAGGGGAAAACCTATTCTCATATTTTGGTACTGGCAAAGGAGGTCCCATGATGAAGCCGTTATCATTTTAGGTCATTAAGTTTATCACCCATTTCTATTGTTGTAATAAATGTATAATAATTGTAATAATAATTTAGATTTGTAACGCGCCACACAGCATTCACTTACTCTGGTAGCGAAAGAGAACGACTCAGAGGCGCGAGGAATCACAAGCAAGCGGGAGCGCTACCATGCAATGAACCGGCGCCAACAACTGCCCGAGCTCTGCAGGGTGTATGACACCTTGATGCCCATGGGAAGGGAGCATCCACATCATTTCTGTGATCCCCCCCCCCCTCCCGCTTCCACAGGACTGGATAACAGGCATGCACCACGACTGCGTTAAGTAGATCCTGTTGCTTTTGTGATATAGTAATCCATTACAAGTCAGTCTCATTTAATGCTCTTGGATTAACCAAGTGATAGATAGCCCACTGTTTTGTACATTGAACTTAAAATTAAATATTGTGGAGCCCAAAAGATTCCTGGCCATTTTATCGAAGCAAAACTACTCTGGACTATTTATATTTTACATTCAGACTATATCTTTTTATTTATATTTTTGACCATCTGTCAAATTGGTGTAAAGTAAATGTTATATCCAGAACTGCAGCAAAATATACTGTTCATGGTTTCAGCTACTTTATATTTACATGAACAACCACACTGAATGCTTGGAAACAAGTCAACCGTGATCTTGGACGCAAAACAGTAGGTCCTCCAGAACACAATCCTGAGTTCATTCCATAGGTCCATCATTTCTTGTACAGTCTCTCAGCGTTAAACCACTGGAGCGGTTTGTATAAATTGCCGATTGAAATGTTTCAACATGTGAATTTTGTGTTGATGTTTATTTGGTATATTTGAATGACGAAACTTCATTTGGTTGCGTGTGCAGTACACGTTGAGCAACCAAGTATTATGTACTCACGTGGTGTGTACTCACGGGTATCGTTCTTCGGTGCTGGATGATCTGCGACGTCGCTGTGCAGTGATTTTCTCTCGCGCACTTCAGAAGCAGGTAGGGATTTACAAAACGAAGTTTTTGCAGGTAGCTCCTGCTGCATGCTGTGCACTGACTGCGTGGTTTAAATAGTGTGGAAACCGGTTTTTAGGTCACGGGGGTTGCTGTAGCACGTCCATGCAGGTGAGTGCAGGTTTTGTCCGTGTCACATGGTGCTTTCAGGTATGTCTGAACCTCCCCGACTACCTGCGTTCAATAAGAGGACCAAGCACAGGCAAGAGGGCATGCCTTCTCTTTTTGACCTACACAATTCTTGCCAATGACTATACAGTCCTCGTGGCTAAATACTGCTGGTACAAACGCTATCTCGGTGTTCGTATCATAGACCTGGTTTCATTCTTTGAATATGATTCATATAACATTGGGATGACGTCAGTGAATATATCTCAAATAAAATTTTGGGTGTGATTGAAAGTATATGTGTGTGGCCTGACACATTTGACCCAACTTTGGAATGTTGATGTTATTTTTTAACATTGCTGTGAACGGACATAAGCAGGGTTGATGATTGATTTTACTTGTATTAGGAAGTGTATAATTCATAATATCTATGTCGAGGGTTGAAGTTATATTAGTACAGTGGGTATTAACACGTGATATGATAAGAGCAGTGGGTGATGAGTGGCAACATTTCATGTTCCTGGTTTGGGAGACTTACACACATTTCTAGTTTCCCAGACTAAGGGGTTATTGTATGATGTTACAAACGTCTACTCGGTATTGAGTTACATAGGCAATTATGTTAGCCACTTTGAAGCTGTTTTCATCCTGAGAGGTAGGGGGTTTGGGGGAACTTAGTCATTTTCGAAAACATTCATGTCCACCCAGGTTGTTACAATCTGCACTATACATGTGTATATTTCATGGACAATAGCATCTACATTAGCTATATATTTTATAGCTATATATTTTATAGCTATATATTTTATGGACAGTTAGGAGCATCTTTGACATATTTGATGGTATGCTTTTTACTCAATTCAATATTGTGAAATAAAAAACAATTACTATGGATCCAGAAATGCCTTTGGATACCCACATGAATACTCTGATACAATCCATTGATAGATATACTGAGATTTTGGTTCTTGTTTTTGTTAATCGCTCAGTTAAATCATTGTAATGCTTTGTTTTATGGTCTTTGTGATTCTGAGGTCGGCTTCAGCTGGCTCAAAATTCTGTAACGCAAATGGTTTTTCCAGTGTTTTTGCACATTTTCAGAGGCGGGCACTTTCACTGATAATACATTAGTGTGAGGGCCGCCACATATTTGATATCATTGGGTTTGACATTTGTGTATTGTCGGGGGGGGGGGGGGTGCACATCAGGGGCCACATTAAAGGCCACCAGGGGCCCTTCAGTGGCCTCATGCCCTTGGAATAAAGAACACTGGCTTATTCACACACGTCGCTCACAACGTACATTACTCTGGTTCTTAAATCACTGCCCTGGCTTCCTTTTAAATTAACGATTTCTTAAAAAATGTAATCCTTAATTTTATTTTGAAACAACGGTTTTATTAACAACTTCGTTTAACTCACGGTCGAGAAGTACGTCAATGGCACCTGAGACACGCGGCGCCTGCTTTTTGTGCGAGCCGATTCCACAGTTTAGGGACCGCGGCGTTTTTGACCTACACAAATATATATAGAAATAATAAGGCGTCCATGCAAAATGTTAATTGCTTTAAAGTAGCGAATTAATTGATTAATTCATGCCGATTTTGATACAGGCATGCATTGTCACCGGATCTGAGTACGTGTGCAAAATGTGGACTTGATTGGACAACGGGGAGTGGATGAAATTTTTATTACAAGATTTGACCATGACAGAGGAATCAAGTTAAGTGAAACTGTTGAAAAAGCCCTTAATACTTATAATGCCCTTCCATGGTCTTTGGTCTTCATATTTACAATAATTGTTGGCACCTTGTGCTCCTAGATAAACCTTGAGATCAGGGAATGCAGAACTCTTTTGTAGGTTGTAGAATTCATCTAAAATCAGTAACGGCAAGGGCTATTCGTTCCTATGCTCACAATGCAGGCACAATAATTTTTTTTTATTACTTATTCGTCTAAGTTTCTTTTTGAGCTGGATTGATTGGTCAATGGATTTTTCAGTTTTATTTTAAAGCATCCTTGGATTTTTTTGCACAAATGGCACTTTTGAATCACACTGTATTGGGCTGAAAATGCCTTAATAACTCCTTTCGATTATGACAATGCCCACAACCATCCTCTCTAATGGTGATCTCTGGACCAGCCATGGCCCTCAGCAGTATATGTCAGGGTACATGGTCATATGTGAGGATGATGCCAACGGTTTGATTTTTGTCAGGAGACTGACTGACAAAGCTCACCCTTTGTGCACCTCTGGGCCCCAAGCAGTGGATACTCCAGGAGTCTAAAACTCGGCCTGCTGGAGGCAGCCGAAAGTGGACAGGGCCACACTGGCTGGTTTCTTCCAGACATGCAATGCCATGCAATGACATCTTGACACAACTCTAACTTTGTCAATGCAAGGTTGAATAAATTGTGCAAGTACAAAAATGTAAACGCTTTGCATTTTATCAAGTCAGTTATATGTAATGTGGCATAAAATATATACTCGTATTATATAATATTGTTTGGCACATGGCAAGCACATTTTGAATATTAACCTGTTTATCTGTGGTTTTAATAATCATAAATATAATTCTCTATGCTTGTTCAAGCAGGCTTATAGTAGTCTCTGGACTTGCTCAATGTCACTTTTGTTTCAAACGACTTCAATAACAAACACTTTTCACTACCAACTGTAGAGTGAAACCCATTTAAAAAAATACAAACTCCGGAGGAGACAAAAGTGTCTGCAATCTGTGCTTTTATTTTTGTTTTCAAGTCCCATTAAAAATATTATTTTAATTTCCTTACTTAAATCATGTAAACAATTTAACACATTTTTTAAATGACAGATTTTAATCTACCATAATCTGCATAAAACGGACATGTTTTATTTCAGGAATAATGTGGTAATTATTTTTGGCGTTAAGTGATAGTAAAAAAAAATATCATTTGTTTCGTTACATTAGTGCACTGTAGTCAGAAAAATGCAATACAATGGAGGACTTTGCACCGAAGTGGAAAGTTACAAGGCAATTGAATTACAGACCTGTTAAAGTTACAAGAAGCAAAGTACAAATTATATATTTCTTTGATAACGGCTTGTATAGAGCCTTAGGTTGGCACATTTTATAGAGCAAGCAGTGACCTGTGAGCCTTCATCTAAAAAAATGTACTAAAATATAAAAATGTTGCTGGAAGTATTTAATAACAATAATGTTATTATTGGCCATTACAAAGATTTTGTCTCCAAAATAATGATTATTTTTGCATAAAACACACTTTGGGCCACCGCAAAATAATGCAATCATCATCAGCTATTGTCTACCCACTGCCGGATGAATACCTCGCCATATAATTCAATCAAGCATGCAATTCAGATCCAAATGTTTAATCACAGTGAGCGCAGGGTGTCACTCTTCTTGGAGTTTTTCCTGCAGGAGCTGATGGAAGGAGAATGGCGTGAATTTGTATCCAGTCCCAGTGTAGAATTTGTTCTGGAACTCCACCCTGGAAGGCACATTCACCCACATAGTCCCTATGAGTACAAGTGCACATTCTAGATTTGAAACTTTCGTGATTGCAAGGATTCATACTCTTAGGTTTTTTTTCTTTTTTTCGTGACTTTACCGAAAAAACCTAAGAGTACAAGTGCACAGTTTGTTTGATGTTTTGCTTCTTGGATCTTCTACATTAATCATATACAACACAGTATGTGATGATGTACATCACAATTATATAATTTAAAAAAAAGTTTACTTCGGAAATTATATATATTTTTGTAATGCCGACTTTAATCTTAAGAATAATGATTCTTGAGATCACAGTTCGTATTAATGCTTAATACCGAATTATCTGTACCAAAATTATGGTGGAGATTTTTTCATACGAATTATATGGTATAACTCATTGATAGCAGAAATATAAACACTCCTTGGACCAAACACAGTTGCATTCCCGTACATTAAAACAATATGTCTTCTAAAGTTTGAGGAATTATTGTTTTGTTGAAGTGCATGGTTTCCCAATGGTAATAACATGACCTTTGTTGTTCAGGAAAGCCACTCTGAGAGTCTTACTATGAGATGTTTGACCAATTCATTACCAGTAATATACTGCATAAAATACAGACTAGTTATATTACACCTCTGTAAAGCAAATTTTTATGCCTAAAACATAGTTTTAAACAGTGCAAGTCTCTGGTAAACAAACATATAATTGTAGTTATATTTTCTTAAAGAGCACGTGCATATATTTAGTTTTACCATACATTATTTTAGTTTAACTTTGGTATTTAAAATAATTATATAGCCTTATAATATTTGTACAAATTAGTATCTCAGCACTCCTACCTTTAAGCTTATCCACTAAGTATAAAAATGATGGCTGCTTGTGAATGACATGGCCATACATGGATATTATCCTTTAAAATAACCAGCCAGGCTTGTGGTATCAAGATTAAACTGCATTCCATTACCCACCACTACATTTCCCAATCTTCCCCCCCTCCTCAGTACAAGGCTTATTTTTCTCTCATGAAGATAGCAATCTATCTAGCTTGCTCAGAGCCAGTACTCATTCAGGTTGGTCTCCAGCAGCTCAAACCAAGTTAAACCTGCTCCCAATCATTTAAAAGATATGCTTACACAAGCGTCAGCATGCACAACATATGCAAAAATATATAAATATGTACACTCGTGATTTGAATAAACTGATGTAAATTGTATTGTTTTTACTTTATTATAACGAAAATAAAACCATAGAAAAATACAACAAGTAAAAAAGTCTCAGTATTTTCTTTACAGAATCAGCAGTAAAATGGGAAATATGGGGATAGGATAAACATCAAAACATTTAAACAAAACATAAGGTACCCTACGTTGAGCTGCCAGGAACCCATCGACGATGTGGTGCAACCAGTACAAATAACGATAGGACCATTGAAACATTTTAACCCATTGCATGAAAATGTAGGAAGGAGAAACTAGGAAATTATTCACTAAAGCTTACTCCTGTGTGGCAGAGACAGAAAATGGGAACGCAGGAATGGGCCCCAGGTCTGACTAAGCCCTATCGATTCCTTCCGCATGGCCGAGCAAAGCTGCTCAAGGCAGCTGCTTTCTGCATCAACCATGGCATGGTACCGTACTTCATTTTTTAAAGTATATATTTAAATATAAAGTACAGTATGTTAAAATCTGGATAAAGTGTCAGGCATGAGACTGAAAAGGCAGATATGAAGCAAAAACAATCGCACACCTTACATCCACATTTTTTTTAATTATAATTTTGTCCCCCAAAACTATGGCCCAGAGATCGATTGGTTTCAATCATCGTACAGACTCAGCCTAGAGTTATAAACTCCTTTAAGTATCACTCTATACACTTAAGGTATATGATGTCCATTAGCAGGGAAGCAAGTACAATGATTTTGATGTTTTGGAGTGTATTGCTAAAGCCAATTGAAACCAGGTAAAGCCCACTTCAAGTGACTAGCACATAATCCGGACAGTCCAACATGCCTTGTAAAGTGTTTAAGCAAAATTTTGTCTTATATTGTCCTGTAATGTTTGGTAGTGTAGTAGCATCTAGCACACCGCGCTACGAACTCGCTAACCCGAGTTGGATTCCCATTCACGGCCAACACCAGTGACGATTATCTGAACTGGTTCGGGCCTCCCCGAGGGGGACACAGCTTCAAATGACTGCCTGGTGCGGTGTGTAAAAACATCGTCACTGGGAAGACAAAAGTGATTGGGCGTGGTGCTGGTCACCCACCCCCCTCGTGTGCCGTGATGGCCTTCGTAGGCGTTCACTAACAACGCTTACCTCAACAGCCTGTTAAAGGCTATACGAGGGGGAGGGTCTTTGTTTGTAATGATTGGATCCAGTTTTGTAACTTGTTAGTCAAAGGCAGATTAAAAGAGGAATATATTGAGCCTGAACGTGAGCAGAAAGTGGAGGGACTCTACAATGTGGACGGCCAGAGGAAAGGCAATCTCAGACTTTGCAGGCAGCAGAGAGGGAGCAACCTCCCATTGAGTGAAGGTTAATTGAAGTGACAGAAGACATTGGTTACGAGAGTGTGAAGAAGAGTAAAAGCCATAAAAATTACAGTGGAGAGGTAGAGTGGAGGTTGAGGCCACTGAGGATCTTGAAGTTGACGAGAGTGATCTATCTTGCAGTTGTCATCATCAATGCAAGAAAAAGGACTACAATACTGGAGTATAAATAACGAAATCTCCAATATTTTAAGTTAAATAACTGCAAAATAATAGTTCATATTGGAATATGTATCTTAATGAGGGCATATCTATCTAGAATGTTCATAGATGCTCCATTTGGTGTTAATTAAAGACTCTAGACTCCCAAAAAGTATCAGGGAAAATCACACTATAAACTAACAGACAACATTCATGGGGACTTTTGTATCTCCAAATTTCAAAATTTACATTTCAATTCAGTATCGTGGCAAAGTGATACAAACCCAACAACACACAGTTGCGCCAAGGGTACTAGCAAATAACAATGTTATATGTGTGTTATAGAAACAGTTGAAAATACATTTCAGCCAGTGTAATACATGTATAATGTCGAGGTTATCCATAACCGCTTAAACTATATTATGTGTAAACAACACTTGCAATGATGCTTGGCTGCAACACAGCATTACATTCCTTCAAACTTAGCCAGAGGACAGACTCAGAATTGTTTGTTGAATCACAGTGTGTTTTGATAAAACAAGATACTTTTCTTAGTGTTGTATATATTCATGCTCTCGTAAATAGCCCTGAGGTATATCTTTTCTAAATGCAAAGAATGACAATTTCATTTTCAAAACGCAAGGGAAAAGTCTGGGATGTGTTATCTTATATTGTTGGATTCCATGTGATGTGAAGATTAGTAATGCAAACACTGACTGGTAGATGTTAACCTCTCTCATACTCCCAGTGGATGGGTAAAAACGCCTTCCAGCGTGTTTCATGGTATATGCGCCACACACTACGTTCATACAATTTCGTCTTCAGTAACGATTCCTATGGACTGATACAACATCTTGTACCATCCTCTGTAGAATATATCTACAAAATTTAATTACGATTTCTTTTTTTTACTCAAACATTTTTACTTTCGAAACGTTATGATGCAGCTTAGCTACAGAACTTTGTTAGGTGAATACAAAAACAATAGCTGGGACTCTAAAAAGTAGGCAGAAGTACAGGTGAAATGAATACAACATATCCAAGTATCTTTATCCAGGCCCATTGTTTATCAACAATGCCATTTAGCATCAGTGGTCTCACAGGGGGAAGACACAAACGCATACACTCGGTATGAGTGTAGCGCTGTAAATGGGCTAAGTGTACTTACCTGCAGTAGCAGACAGGGCCCACCAGGGGCAGTAACTTGGACCGGCATGAGGGTGGTGACATTCCGCAGCCCCGAAGCAGGGGGGGGGGGGGCTGCGGGGTGTTCTATAATCCCCCGAGACCCCCCCTGGAACTCTCTGGAAGGGAGGCGTGGCCAGGGGCTGACACACCTGGGGAGGTGTATAAAAGCCGGACCTCTGGACGAGTCCGGCAGTCAGTCCGCAGACCGAAGCCTGAAGACCAGCTAGCCTAGGACCCTGGGAACCCCCAGACCCGCTGCCCCTCTAAGGGCCGGGACTGAGAGGGCCAGTGGTGAGACCCTGGGAACCCCCAGACCCGCTGCCCTTCTAAGGGCCGGGACTGAGAGGGCCAGTGGTGAGACCCTGGGAACCCCCAGACCCGCTGCCCCTCTAAGGGCCGGGACTGAGAGGGCCAGTGGTGAGACCCTGGGAACCCCCGGGGTCCGACGTCCTTGTAAGGGCCGGGACCGAGAGGGCCAGTGGTCGAGACCCGTACCTTGGCTGGGTCGGGTCAGTGTAGCCTCCCCTAGGTCACCCTTAGCCGGAGGAGAGAGAGCCCGTGGTCCCAGCACGCTAGCCCGGAGGCCGTACCTCTCCAGGTAACGGGTAAAGGGGCCGTTACCCCTTTGTGTTAGGGACCATTACTGTTGGTGTTATCGTAATAAACGTGTTGCCTCTACAAGCCGCCTCCACTCTCCTTGAACCCACTACATTAGTATGCCATGTGTCAAAGACTGATAGCACATCGCCACTTTCTATTTATTAAAATGCATTGACATGCATGTGTTTCAAGGGTAAATTAATGCAATAGTTTGGAATTCATGGAGGTCTCTGCCACCATATGAAAATCATCACACTGTGTATATTTCCAATAACATTGATGCAACTTTTAGCAGACTTTGCTAAAAGTTGCCGATTTTGTCACGGGTTCAGAAAGGAACACGCAGTGTGCTGCATTACTTATGGATGGGTGAAGGCACACTGGTTTCCACCAGTTCGTAATCGTCACACTGGAATGATACTGACAAGTATTAGATTACCTCCACCGCCTGCTAAGTAAATACATTCTCAAGAACTCCTATCATGTCATTCTAAAAATAAATAAAGCTCAGAATGGTTG